GTCCTAGAGAGGGATGTGGTGACGACCTCAGCCCCAGAGTGACATCTGAGTGTCCCTATGCTCTTAAAAATGGGTAAAGGCTCCCAGCAGCTCCGGAGGCTGAGGCAGGAAGATGGTAAGTTCAAAGCCAGCCTCAGCAACTCAGTGAGACCCTGTCTCCAAATAAAATATTTAAAAAAAAAAAAAAAAGGCTGGGGATGTGACTCAGTGGTTAAGTGCCCTGGGTCCAATCCCTGGTACCAAAAAAAAAAAAAAAAACAAAACAAAACATTGGTAGAAGCAGCCAGACATGGTGGCACTTACATATAATCCCAGCTACTCTGGAGGCTGAGCCAGGAGAACACTGGAGCCCAGGAGTCTGAGATCAGCCTGGGCAACTTGGCAAGATGCCTTCTCAAAACCAGAGAGCCAGGCACGGTCGGTGGCACACACTGGTAACCCCAGCAGCACGGGAGGCTGAAATGGGAGGATCGCAAGTTCAAAGCCAGCCTCAGCCTCCGTGAGGCCCTAACCAACTCAGTGAGACCCTGTCTCTAAATAAAATACAAAACAGGATTGGGGATGTGGCTCAGTGGTTGAGAACCCTGATTCAATCCCGGGTACCCAATAAATAAATAAATAAATAAAAGGGTTGGGGTTGTGGCTCAGCTCGCCTAGCATGTGTGAGGCACTGGCTTCGATCCTCAGCGCCAGATAAAAATAAATCAATAAAATAAAGACATGTATCCATCTGCAGCTAAGTTTTGTTGTTTTTTTTTTTTTAAATAAATAGATAGGGCTGCGGTGAGGCTCAGAGGCACAGTGCTTACCTCACATGAGCAAGGCTCTGGGTTCCATCCCCAACGCCACAGAAAAATAAGGAAATGAATGAACAAAGGTTGGATGAGAAACAGGATATCTGCAAAGTCTCAAGGCGTCCCCCGCAGACACTGGCCACATCCCACACTTCACCATGGGGCAAGCTGTCCCCACCTCAACAAGGCACTCCATCTAATACAGAGGTGTCTGAAAATCCACTTTCGGTGACTGTGACTGAACACCACAGATTGGGTGCCTTATGAAGAATCGAGGTTCATTTAGCTCATGGTTCCAAGGACATCTGGGGAGGGCCTTCTCCAAGGATGGCAACATGGCAAGACAGAGCAAGGGTGCAGACGCAGCTGGTGTTGATAACAAAGCCCCTCCCTCCATGACCCACGAATCCCCTCACCCACAGACGGATCCACCCATTGAGCCCCGTGACCCAGCTGCCTCCCAGGGGTCCCGCCTCTCCACACAGCTGCCCTGGGAACCAAGGTTCCAACACATGGAACTGGGAAGGCACATTCAAGCCACAGCGTGGGGTAAGTCAGCGTCCCCCACACCTCCTGATAGGACACATGGAGGACACCACATCGTGACAAGGACTCGTGCCAAAAAAAAAAAGCATGAGTTGAATTCAAGCGCCAGGAAGCAGTGGGTCAACTCCAGACTGAAGCCCGGTCTACAAAATAGCTGTCCTACACTTTTCAAAAATGTCGAGGGGGCCCAGCACTGTAGGGTGCCCTCTAATCCCAGCTACTCAGGAGGCTGAGACAGGAGGATTGTAAATTTGAGGCCAGCCTCAACAACTTAGTGAGACTCTGTCTCAAAATAAAAATCAAAAATGACGGGATGAAGCTCAGTGGAAAAGCGCCCCCTGGAGTCAATGCTCAGAAGTGCATTTTTTAAAAAAGTATCAAAGGGCTGGGGATGTGGCTCAAGCGGTAGCGCGCTCGCCTGGCATGCGTGCGGCCGGGGTTCAGTCCTCAGCACCACATAACAACAAAGATGTTGTGTCCGCCGAGAACTAAAATATATATATATATAAAAATAAAAATAAAGAAATAAAAAAGCATCAAAGGCAAGAAAGGGTAAGAAAGGGGATTTGCCCTGGATTAGGGGAAAGAAAGACACAGGAAAACACACGGCACCGTGCAACCCTGGACGAGGCTAAGCTACAGGGAAGAACATGTGTGAGGTCAGCAGCACACTCTGAGATGAGGTGTGTTCTGTTAACATCATTCCCCGACTCCAAGGCACGCACTTGAGCTCTGTTACCATGTGAATGACCCCTGTGAATGCTTCCTGCTGTCTTCAAACTTTGTCAAGGGAAATTCACATCCCCCTAAATTACCCAGCTCAAAGCCCCGCTGTCCAGCCTTCTCTGGAAGTCCCCACAAATGGGAGCATGCGAGTGGCTTCTCTCCCTCAGCAGGAGGTTTTCAAAGCACTAACCCAATGTAACACTGGCCCGTTCCTTTTCGTGGCTGAATAATATTCCATTATGCCTCAGTTGTTCAGCTACTCATCCGTCACAGGACAACTAGGGCTGCTTCGCCTGGCCACAGCCGCGAACACGGCAGCAACTTGCCCACGAACCCCTGCTTCCAATTCCTCAGGGTGTAGAGCCGGAAGAGGAACCCCCTGTAACTATTTTCGCAATAGTTTTAGAAGTCTGCAATGATTTCCAAAGAAGATATTTTTTAATCAAAGTCAACGAGACAATCAAAATCAAGGACTTATAAATTCACAGTCTTGGAGCACATTAGAAGGGGTGAGGAGAAAAGTCCCCCTGGGGTTTGGGGGCATGACCCAGGGGAGGTGCGCTTGCCTGGCCTGCACCAGGCCCTGGTTCCGCGGGTCCCCAGCACCAGAAAAGGGAAAAGGCTCCCCTGAGACGCGCCTGGAATCTAGACGCGAGGATGGAGCCCTCGTGGCCGCCTGTGGGCATCAGCACCTGAATCGGGGCTTCAACTCCAAGAGCGACTGCTGTGGGCCCCTGCAGCCCAGAGCCTCGGGGACCCGAACATGCTTCTCCGGGTGGAATCCCAGGCCACCTCTCGGCCACCACTGGGAAAATCAGCAGCCATGTCGCGTGCAACTGAAACACCCGGGGACCCCATGCCCTGCAAAAGGAGCCAGGCCAGGCAAGACAAATACCGCCCCGTCTCATCTAAAAAGCCAAACTCCCTCCTGGCTCAGGATGGGACTGCACGCTTCCGCCCGACCTCGAACCTCTGGACCCTGAGCCCCAGTAGCCGTGCACTTCATAAGTAGCCCGCGTCCACTGTCTCAGGGGAGTGGCAGGAGCCCGCGGATACAGGGTGTCAGGTGTGAATGAGGCAGAAATGCTCTGGAACTAGAACGTCCTCAGCAACCCTGAATTGTTCCTTTCCAGTAGGTGGATATTCTGTTCTGTGAATTTCACTTCCTTTATAAAAAGAAGAAAAAAAAAGTTCCATGTGCAAACTTGGAAACTTGTGCTGAAAAATAGAGACGAGGGCTCCCTCTGGCGGCAGAGTGGAGAATAGACCATCCTGTACCGCGGACGCTGAGGATGGAGGTGGGACTAATGAACTTGAACTTGACATTTTTATTTCAGAGTACTGGTCTGATATTTTGTACAAGGCCCTCTTTTGTAGATTTTTTTGTAGAGGTGGTAGACAGCACTCAAAGTGGGTTCATCTGATTTGCGTTTCTGTGATACCAGGGATTGAAGGGGTGCCCTACCATGAACTTCACATCTCCAGCCCTTTTTATCTTTCATTTTGCGACAGGTTTATCCAGGTTGACCTCAAACTTGCAATCCTCCTGCCTCAGCCTCCCAAGTAACAGGGATTACAGGTGTGTGCCACCATGCCTGGCTTCACACGATGTTTCTATCACTTCTTGATAACAGGCGGCATTTAAATAGTGTTCCCTTTAACATGAGCAGCCTCTTGGTCACAAGAGGTTAAGTGACAGATGTGATTTCAGCATTTTCTTTCTTTTTCTTGACTCTTCTAGAAAAGACTTTTCTCTTCCAACTGAATTGGGCATTCCCACTGGGATACTAAATGGCTGCAGACCACAGGGATGACCTCACCCCAGCTCCTGTTTGAAACCAAGAGCTACAGCATCAACACCGTTTTCTAATGGCAATCAGATGTGACATGTCAACACTTTTCCCTCCTCCCCTTTTGGCTGCACAGCTTTGTGCAACCTCCAAAATCAAGAGCCGACTGTTGCCAGGCGCAGGGGCGAAGGCTGTGATCCCGAAACCTGGTCAGCTGAGGCAGGAGGATCACAAGTTTGAGGCCAGCGTTGGCAATGAATCAAGGTCCATCTCAAAACTTAAAAACTAATAATAAGAAGTGGGGACATAGCTCTGTGGCAGAGCACCCCTAGGTTCTATCCCTAGTATGGAGAGAGAGAGAGAAAGAATATTGTAAAGTAAAAAATAAGACGTGTTCGTCATGGCTGAGGACCAGAGGGAATCATGAGTTTCCAGGACTTGGGTGTCTCGAGGTCACCCTCACAGCACCCCGGAGAAGTGAGTCTGTGAGCCACTTACCGGTCAGAAAAACAGGCGGGGAGGTGATGTAACATCACCAAGTCATACAGTCAGCAAGGGCTATATGTGACATTTCAACACTCCTCTGCTGTGCAGTGATGCTTATTAAATATAATGAAACCTTCTCCCTCCACCAAAAGACAAAAAAGTAGACTTATGCCAGGTGTGGTGGGTACACGCCTGCAATCCCCATGGCTCAGGAGGCTGAGGCAGGAGGACTGTGAGTTCAAAGCCAACCTCAGCAACTCAGCAAGGCCCTAAGCAACTCAGTGAGACCCTGTCTTTAAAATATTTATATAGGGCTGGAGATGTGGCTTAAATGTTTTAGTGCCCCTGGGTTCAATCCCCATACCAACAAACAAACAAACAAAAAACTGACTCATGTCTTCTGAGCTTACCCGAAACATCTAGTGACCCAGTCCTGACCCTGGGTCAATCACAAACTGTACCCCAGAGTCCACTGTCCCTTTATTTTTTTAGTAACAGAATCCCCTGAATTTCAGGACATATGATCCCAGCAGAAACTACATTTCCCAGAAACTCTTGCAGCTGAATACGCCCACGTGACTGAGTTTGAGCCAAAGGAACAGATACAATCATGATAAAACCATGTAGAAGTCATCTCCTGTGACACAAAGCCACTTACCCCAGACTTTCTCCTCCTCCTTTCTGCTGGTTGAAACTTGGACAGGAGACAAATGTATCTGAGGACAGCCCCTGGGAGATGCAGGAGCACAAAGGTGAAGGAATCTGGTTCCTTGGATGACCTGGTGAAGCACAGAAAGACAGCAAATACTCGGCAGCGTGTATCTTACTTGACCTTCTTGGCACCCTGCTTAGCTTTCATCAATGACTTGGGCCCACACAAAGTCTGTAGCGTAAACAAAGTAGAATAACATACCATAAAACTTGTAACCATCCCATCAAGTCCCAGGTCTTGTAATGATTACTGTAAAAAACAAAAATAAACTGGAGGCCAGTGTGGCTATATCCCAAGGCCAAGTGTTCATAATCACGAAGCTGAAACTTAAGCTATTTATGGGATTGGGGTATAGCTCAGTGGAAGAGTGCTTGCCTAGCATGCAAGGGCCTTGGGTTCATCCCCAGTACAGAAAAGAGAAAAATAAAAGTCATGCTGATTTCTCAAAAACACTAGCTCTAGGGCTGGGGATGTGGCTCAAGCGGTAGCGCGCTCGCCTGGCAAAGCGTGCGGCCCGGGTTCGATCCTCAGCACCACATACCAACGAAGATGTTGTGTCCGCCGAGAACTAAAAAATAAATATTAAAAAATTCTCTCTCTTTAAAAAAAAAAACACTAGCTCTAATTCATAAGCAAAACACACACACAAAAAAAACATAAGCTACATCCTCATCAACATGACTCAGTGAAATTAAACCAATCAGCTGTAGACACATCAGCTTAAACAGCTGTTTGCCTTTAAAAGAAAGTTAATGAATAACAGCCTATCACGAAAAAGGTCAAAATACTTCCTCCTTAATGTTTTATAAACTGTGACCTTATGCTACTGTAAAGGAGATTCTTAACCAACCAACTTGAAGTCTCTCAGATCACAACCTGTGCTTTTTGTATAAAGAGAAACTTACATTTCTCTTAACTTGATTTGATTTTTGATGTTATAAAAGCATTGGGTAGGCTGGAAGGTCGATAGTACATACAGGACCATCATGCAAACAGAATAAGGCACCTCTCTAATTCACCAGAGGCTGGGACTGGAGATCAGCCTAGCAAGAAGCCTGGGTCCCATACCCAGCACGGCTGGGTGGCGGGGAGAAAGAAAGAAGGGAAGGAAGGAGAAAACCTTTATAGGACTGGACCTGCTCTCTAGCTTGGAGACTGCAACCTGTGTCCATCAGCCCCAGGACCCTGCCCCTCAGCCAGTACCCTTTGCAGAACACAACTTGTAACGGCCACATACAGCAGCCCTGTGTGCAGGGGAATTAAAAAAAAAAATAGAAAGTGGGGAGGGAGGAGGATCTGGGATCTAAATGAATTTCTTGTAACATGAATCCTTCTCAGGGCACTGAGGAAGTTTTCTATTTAAAGAAATCCTGCGGCGAACTCTTTTGTAAAGGATGCTTTCGGAATGGAATTAGTCACCACTGAGTCATTTGTGCAGAACTCTGAGTCGCGGTTTTGTCTAAACAAGTTCTGGCTTGAAGAAGTCAGATAAATTATAGATGCTGTTAATAAATTATATAGTATTCACAGGCAAAGGAGGAAAGGAGAAAAAAAGGCGGGGGGGGGCCTATGTGATGAGCCAGGTCGACACTGAGAGGTCTTTAAAGCGGTTTCCACTGGCATCGAAGCTGTCATTTGATTAAAAAGTGCTCCCCCAAGGCCTGAAAGTCAGTTTCTGTCCCATCAGAGAGCGAACGCACGAAGACCGGCTCAGAGGAGCGCCAGCCAGCAGCCAGGCAGCAAGGAACAAGCTCTGGCAGCAGCGTCCTCGCCCCGCCCGGTTGCCCTGACAACCGCGTCAGCGTCTGGGCGGGGCCTCGGGGAGCAGCCAACCTCCCACAGTCCCTCGCGCGCGTTCGCGCAGGCGCGTGTGACCGGTGTCGCGCTGCGGCCGGTGGCGTTCGGCCCACGGACCTCCGGGCGCAGGCCGGTCGCTTTCCCAGCCGAGAACTAGGCTCCGAAGGGCCCAAGAGGGATGAGAAGCTCGTCTGGGCGCCCCTCAGGTCTGGAGCCCAGGCCACCCTCTCCACGCCGTGAGATCGCGGTCTCGCAGCCTCGGGGGCCCCGTTTGTGGGGCAGTTCACGCCCCTGCCGCAGGCGGCCCTGGGCACCCGGAGAACTCGGGACAGGCTGGGCCCCGGAGTGGGGTCCGTGGGGCGAAGGGGCTCCCGCAGCAGCCTGAGGAGGTGGGCGCTGTGACTGTGAGCATGCCACGGGAAGAAGCCGGTCCTGGAGGCCCAAGTGGCCCAAGGGATGCCAGCGGGGCGCGGCGACAGGGCCCTCCCGGGAGCCCCCATGGAGAACCCGGGCCGAGCTGGTGGCGCACCTCCCACGTGCTCGGGGTAGATGTCGAGGGAGGGGACGCGGGGAGAGGGCAACTGGGAGCATGTTCGTCCAGGCTGCAAACGTGGTGGGGAAATGTTGGGATTTAGAAGCCCAAAGATGCTTGACCTTTGTTTTGGAGCCGGGTCGGGTACTGAGAATTGATCCCAGGGCGCGTTGCCACCGGGTTACAGCCCCAGCCGAGTGTCACCTGATGCCCATGTTGGCCTTGTGATCCCCCTGTCTCAGCCTCCTGGGTAGCTAACAGGCCACCTTTGGAAATAATACCTTTGGTGGCAGATTCTTCGGCCCACTTGGCTTCGGCCCAACCTTCTGCCCGACCTGAGCTCCCATTTTGGTTTCTATTCCTAGAGTGAAAGGTTTCTTAACCACACTACTGGCGTCAAAGGCCAGATCTTTCTTTGAAGTGGGACACTCCCCTAGGCACTGTTAAGAAACTGAGCAGCATATGCAGCCTTTCCTCTCTAGACACCAGGAACACTCCCTTCCAATCCGAATGGTCACCACGAAAAACATCCCCGTGCCAGGCGCACCTGTAATTCAACCTCCTTGGGGGGCTGGGGGAAGCTAGGGCAGGAGGATTGCAGGCTCCAGGCCAACACCAGCAACTTAGCAAGACCCTGTCTCAAAATAAAGAACTGGGGCTGTAGCTCACTGGTAAAGAGCCCCTTTTTCAATCCCCAGTATTGGGGAGGAAAAGTCTTCAGACACTGCCAAACAACCCCTGGGACAGGAGATGGCC